GCTATTTAAGAAATGATTTGAATTGAACTCAGTTCAAATTCCTTATTTTCCATTTTGATATTTAAGAAATGATTTGAACATAACTCAGTTCAAATCCTTTATATTTCATTTGCTATTTAAGAAATGATTTGAATTGAACTCAGTTCAAATCCCTTATTTTCCATTTTGCTATTTAAGAAATGATTTGAATTGAACTCAGTTCAAATTCCTTATTTTCCATTTTGATATTTAAGAAATGATTTGAACATAACTCAGTTCAAATCCCTTATATTTCATTTTGCTATTTAAGAAATGATTTGAATTGAACTCAGTTCAAATCCCTTATTTTCCATTTTGCTATTTAAGAAATGATTTGAATTGAACTCAGTTCAAATTCCTTATTTTCCATTTTGATATTTAAGAAATGATTTGAACATAACTCAGTTCAAATCCCTTTATATTTCATTTTGCTATTTAAGAAATGATTTGAATTGAACTCAGTTCAAATCCCTTATTTTCCATTTTGTTATTTTTAAAAATGATTTGAACATAACTCAGTTCAAATCCCTTATATTTCATTTTGCTATTTAAGAAATGATTTGAATTGAACTCAGTTCAAATCCCTTATTTTCCATTTTGTTATTTAAGAAATGATTTGAACATAACTCAGTTCAAATCCCTTATATTTCATTTTGCTATTTAAGAAATGATTTGAATTGAACTCAGTTCAAATCCCTTATTTTCCATTTTGATATTTAAGAAATGATTTGAACATAACTCAGTTCAAATTTCTTATATTTCATTTTGCTATTTAAGAAATGATTTGAATTGAACTCAGTTCAAATCCCTTATTTTCCATTTTGCTATTTAAGAAATGATTTGAATTGAACTCAGTTCAAATCCCTTATTTTCCATTTTGATATTTAAGAAATGATTTGAACATAACTCAGTTCAAATTTCTTATATTTCATTTTGCTATTTAAGAAATGATTTGAATTGAACTCAGTTCAAATCCCTTATTTTCCATTTTGCTATTTAAGAATTGATTTGAACATAACTCAGTTCAAATCCCTTATATTTCATTTTGCTATTTAAGAAATGATTTGAATTGAACTCAGTTCAAATCCCTTATTTTCCATTTTGCTATTTAAGAAATGATTTGAACATAACTCGGTTCAAATCCCTTATATTTCATTTTGCTATTTAAGAAATGATTTGAATTGAACTCAGTTCAAATCCCTTATTTTCCATTTTGCTATTTAAGAAATGATTTGAATTGAACTCAGTTCAAATCCCTTATTTTCCATTTTGATATTTAAGAAATGATTTGAACATAACTCAGTTCAAATTTCTTATATTTCATTTTGCTATTTAAGAAATGATTTGAATTGAACTCAGTTCAAATCCGTTCTTAAAAAGCAATGTATAACAGTAAAACTTACTTATCTCTGTCCCATAATAATTGTTACATTTGCAATTTGAAATATGGAGGCAAATGTAACAAAACTATTATGAGACAGAAGTCGTATTCATTGCCACAATTCTGTATGTTACAGAATAAATCGCCAGAAGTATTATTCATTTATGTCTCGTATTTATATCATTGTATTTCTCTTGCCTTTTATTGTAACTTTCAGATCGTCAGTCTGCGACAGTTAAATATTCCTTATTTTCAATCTGCGTTGGTCATTTAACGGCTGTAGAATAACGATCTGCTGAGAGTTTCGATAAAAAGCAACAAAAATAAGATGATAGAAACATGGGTGAAAGATTAATACTAGTCATAATGCTTTATCTAAGAAATTCACAGTCTGTCAGCTGGACAATTTGCCAGTTTTTATTTACAAGCAGACATTATATATATATATATATATATATATTAATTGAAGAGGAAATATGTATTAACCAAATCAGTATCGCTGACATTTGAGCTTTAATTTTATGGAGATTTAAAAATACCAAATTCTTTCTGTTGTTCCGACTTGCTTCCGGAACTTGAATATGGAATATGAAAAAAGAAAAATTTTTTTTGATATTATCTCCTTTTGATAATACTCCTAGTAAAACCGTTGTTTACTTATGTTATATATTCTAGATGAATCTCAGAGTTTTTGAGAGTTTTAATAATAAAGTAGAAACTCGAATGGAAACTTATCGAGTATCTGAAATCTCTGTGTGAATCTAAATGATAGTAGTTGTAAGACAAAACCCAAAATTGTTAAAAAAATACTTGTATTGTTCTTAAGAGTTGACGACTATACGGATACTAATTTCGACTAGGAAATTTATGCTTGTATCAAAATTACCATAGAAATGGTCAACTTGTTGAAAAATATTCCCCGTTGTTCTACAGGGTTATCCACGAAAAACCTGGAAATATTAGATTTGGTATATGATGAAAAATTTAACTAACATATAAAAAAAAATAACTATATATTTTACTACATGAATGAACTAAAAAAATTAGCTAACATATAAATTTTTTAACCATTTCTTTTTCCAGGATGCAGCAGTTATCAAATTTTCAACCCAAGCTGAGTGTTCTCTTTAAGAAAGAACATCCAACTTAGGGATTGAAAACATGCCAAGAAATTTTGCCAGAGTTCTTTAGTTTGAGCACCACATCTAACATTTGCGTTTTTGTTCTGTTTTAAGGCTACTAAATTTCTATCCTTTGTTTTTCTTTTAATTAACTGTAACAAGAATAAATAAACTGTACCAAATTTCCTGTTTTTTTTTGTGAGGCACCCTGTACTAATGAAATATACATTTTTTATGGGATAATTTCGCACATTGTATAAAACGACAGAAAGAAATCCTAAAATTTTGACTTCATCTATTGTGAGGGATTGTAATATTGTTTCTACAATTAACAGAGTTTTTGTTCTTTTCATTCACATCAACTAAGAATTATTTCTAATTTTTTTATAACTGGATTTGTTAACGTATCTACGGTGTAGGTACAAGCGGCCTTAACCTTTGTCGCTAAATTAGATTTTTGGTGAATTTCTCTCGCAATCAAATTCTTCCTTCTTTTATCCCTTTATTCATTGTTTATTCATTAGTTTGAGCAATACACACACACACACACATACACAAACACATGCACACACACACACACATATATATATATATATATATATATATATATATAGATAGATATCATGCTATTTTTTATATGCCAATAGATAAGAATTTTTTTTTTATGTTTTACACGTTTTGTTGTGTTTAAACACAAAATGTATAAAAAATAAGGAGAAAGTGCTCAAGGCTTTAAAGACAAATCTACAATTTAGTTTAAATTAATTGTAGAAACATATATATATATATATATATATATATATATATATATATAGGGTGCGACAGAAAGACCTTCATCATATACCTCCCAGAAATATTTCTCACATAATAGTAACATATTAGCTAGATGACGACATCATTGCCACTAATGTCTTACTATTATGTGGGAAGTATTTTTGCCCCTCCACACACACATATATATATATATATATATATGATTCCTATAAACGTTATATTTAGTGGTTAGCTGATTTGAATAACGTTTATAGTAATAACTAATAATACATTCAATATATATATATATATATATATATTGAATGTATTATTGAATGTAATATAGCCTATTTTATATATATATATATATATATATATATATATATATATATATATATATATATATATATATATATATATATATATATATATATATATATATATATATATATATATATATATAGGCTATATTAATCGAGATAGAGCCTTTCTAGATAGAAACAGTGTGAACATGGACGCCAACATTGCATGGTGATTTGGTTTTACGTCTTATGACAGGAAAATTAAATATTCTGTGTTGATTTTAACGTCTAAACTTTCTATATTTATAAAGGCTGTATCCCCGATAATGAACACGCTATGTATATAATTTAAATTGCCATAAGTGATCACCCATTTAATTACTGACCATGCTCGACTCTGTTAAACTTCGCTGACTGGATGGAAACCGCTGTTTTCAACGGAATTTGTCCGTAAGAAAATATTTCTTCGCTGAGAAAGTTTTATTGACCATTACGACAAAACAAAATAAAACTAAACCAATTTAAATAGGGGTAGATAGGTTTGCTTATCGCCCAGTTCACACTCCTTCAAGGTCTTTTGAACTGAAGTAAAAGTTTATACATTGTTTTCAGTTTAGGATTGGGCTTCCGGTTTCTTATAAAGTTTTATTTATTTTTTATTCTCTTTCACTTCTAGTAACCCCCCACCCTGGCGTCTTACTTGGAGTAAAGTGATAAAAAAGCTACAACAACAACATCTGTAGAGTTACACTGAAAACAGCAGTTTTCCTCTTTTCATCGAAGTCACGAGCTTGAACATGACCAGTAATTAAATCGGTCGCCATTTACGATTGTTTAAACGGATTCTAAGAGACGCGTCCATAAAAAATGATTCCCTAAGTATCAAACTATTTTTTCTAAATATATTTATCTATATGCTTTGGCTTTGCTACTTATCTAAATACTTATCTTAATCTTTTTTTTTATCGCATTTTTCAACTTTTTCACACTTTCTGTCACTCATCTAACAACAAGTCTTCAATATGTTTTCTTTTGACGACCAATCGACGTCTGTATTAGTTAGAGAAGACTCCAGAAATACGTTCGTAACCATAGCTGCTTGGTAAGATTTGGTTCGTTCTATAGGCGTGTCCGTATCCACCAAAAAGGTTCCACTACTTCCATTATTGTTTTGCTGAATCACTTTTCTACAGAATTCCTTATCGTCTTCGCCTTTGCTGTCAATTTCGAAGTCTTCATTGTCTTTTTCTTCGTCGGTTAATATTTCGTCATTTAATACTAAGTTTGTCGACTGTGAGTGAGCGCCATAACTCTTTTCAATATCTGACGTTTGTGTCTCGAAATTCCCTACATTATGTGAATAAGAATGAAAAGACGTTTCGACAGATCCATAATCTATTTCCAACTTCTCATTGACTGGAATACCTGAAATTCCTGGCTTTCTCTGGCGTTCTGTATTGTTGAAATCTTGTCTTCGACATTCGGTTGTTTTGCTGCCACCTTTCGTCAAAGATTTGTGGAGATTTTCTGATTGGCTGTCTATCAATTCATTGTCTCTTTCTTCAACTTGACCTCTTTCCGACCTTTTTTTCAGGATTCGTTTTCGATCTCTGAAAAACAAAAGGGGATTTAGAGATTTATTATGAGGAAAAATCATGAAAATTTATGTGATAAAGTAATCGGGAGCAATCTCCCTTGTTTAATGATTACTTCCCTTTGGTGAACTCTTTTGTTTGTAGAGGATTAGAAATTGTCACTACACTGGTATCAATTATTCTAAGCACAATAAAGCTTTCTTAAGCCTACTCTTGCTGTCTTTGTTATTACAATTTACTCGGTTAATTTAGGACAAAATGTCGTTTTAAATATTGTTTTATGATTTCATTATTTGAATAATAAATTAAACATGAAATTAATAGCGCAGATTTTGTTGGAAACTTTAAAAGGATTTGTTATAATGTTTTTTTTTTATTAGAAAGTAATATAAAATAATTAAAAATAAATGAATAATAAAAATTGTAGATAAATAAATAAATAGTATAATAGTGTAGGTTTGTCTTCTACACTTACTTTTAAGAGAAGTGTATTTAAAAAGAAAACCAGTCGGTTAATAAAAAATAAATTTGATGTGATACATTTGCCTTGTTCCGTTACACAATACAGAAACCATATTGTTTATTTCCTCCTTTGTTTGTCCCATTTTAGGTTAGGTACTTTTTTTTTTTAGATTCGTCACTGTTTTTATCAATTCCGGTTAGCCTTTAAGCACGAGGAACCCAACACAATAAAGGCACCACACCAATCACGTGATCGGTAGTTTTATCCTCCTTATTCCACCCCCAAAGTTAACCAGCATCGGTTTGTAGCTTTTTGTTAACTTTCATTCTACCTTTGTCTATTTTAATTCCGTGTTATTGTTTGAACATTTGTTTAATGTGGCCTGATTTCATACGTTTATTTTATTTTTTTTTACGTTTGTATCTCTGTGTGTAGAACCCTTTCAACACGCGTCCACGCACGCTGTCGCAAAATGTAACCTTCTTCTAGCTTTCTTTTCACGAATTCACTGCAACTTTGGAATGTATTCTCGTAGCAAACTTTATTCATGTATACAAAGTACTTGATTCCTTCTTTTATCCATTTATTAGACCAGCGTTTCTCAACCCTTGCGTAACCCTTAAAATAAATTACTTGTCTCAAGGAATCCCTGAGCAAAAAACAAAATTATATGCCATATCTTTCTCATTTTATTTTCATCGTAGTTCACGTGGTGAATATCATAGGATATATTTTTGAATAACTGGTTTAAGGACAAATTAATACTTCTTTGTCAAATTTTTCAGTGATGCTAAATAAAATTTATACTGTTCGTTTATAATACTTAATCAGGGAGTTTTCGTTCGCGCACGCGCACACACACACACACACACACACACACACACACACACACACACACACACACACACACACACACACGCACACACACACATTCTAAATTCAAACGAAAAAAATAAACATAAGTAACCAATATCATATACTTATAATATAAATGTAAACAGAACGAAAATAGATAATTGCTGCATCAGTTTATTTTATTTTTTTCTTATCCTTTACTGGCAATGTTGAAAAGACATAAGGTAAATCCAGGTAAAATATCCAGTGAAGAAATAAATGGGCTAAGAAAATGTTACTTTTATAGCCATTTGATAAAGTGAAACATGCTTCTCTAATGTGAAGCCTGTGATTGTCTTTTCCTACACAAATACTTAACTGGAGGTCGAACTTTAGATAAACACGCACGAATTTCATTCTCAATTGAGAGGAGACAATTTTTGTCATTGCACTTGATACTTGTTAAAGGGTGATTAGCCATTTCTGTAAAAACAAAGAAAAAACAAAGAAATAATTAACTTTAAGTACATGTCCCGTCCGCTAAGTGGACACTGACTAGTGAAAGTGGTTTCACAATGGCGCCATACAGACATCGCTAAATATATTACCAATGATTGTTATATTTTTTAATAACATAATAAGTTAGATAAGATGATGTCTATAATACAATATTTCAATTACCAAGAATATATTTTGCGTGTTTAGTAATATTACGTAATATGAAACTAAATAAAAAAATCAAAAGTGCATTAGCTTATCTCACTTGTTCTCGCGGAACCCTTGGGGACCTTTTGCGGAACCTTAGGGTTCCGCAAAAGGTTGAGAAAGGCTGTATTAGACTGAGTTTTATGTTCGCTTCCAGCTGCCTTTGTTATTTATTGTTAACCTTGTTTATTTGTATTTTCAGACTAGTCTTATTTATATATATTTATTGCTTTTCTAGTTTTACCATTTTAGTTCTTAATAAACCTGCCGTTTTAATTGCCTTAACTGGCTGTCTTCGAGACTATTCTCCTGTACGACACGGACGCGTACTCTCAGAGGTAGAACATACCTGTTAAAGTAATTAAATATAGAATTGGCTAAAAAAGAACGACAGAAAAATAATTCGGTCAAGGTAGACTATGATTTATTTTCAAATCTGAAAAATATATACACTTTGGATTTTCCTCCAATCAAAAGGATGGCTTCCACTCGCGAATATTTAAAAACTGTGACCCGTCTGAGCCTCTTTAGAGGATATATAAGAAGACAGGTCATCAGATAATGCTTGGTGTAATAATTTTCGACTGGAAGCTATCGAAATTTTCGACGGAGTCACAAGACGAGAAGGCATGGAAATTTCGACCTGAAGGCATAAAAATAAGGAAAAGCTACTTTGGCGGTCACCTATGGATAAGCTGGATTGTTAGTTACAGAAAAAACAAACGAGAAAAAGAAGTGAATTAATTGAAACTTGTGAATAGAATCGTGTTCTAGAAAAGAAAAGAAATTGTTAAAAGTCCTCGTAACACAAATGAATTTACCAATTTTCTGTTTTTTCATCTTTTAATTAGGTGGGTATATCTTTTTTTTTTTTTGAAAGGGTGTTTTGAACCATATTTAAAGTTTTTGTACTGACTTCTCAAGGTCTTTTTCATTATTTGAAGATGGAATTGTACATCTTTTTAAGAGCTTATAATCTTTTTTTCATCTGTTATCTGGCCTTTACGAAAAAGGCGACCAAAACGAAATTTTTGTGCATGATTTTTTGCAAAATTTCTTTTCGTCTTTCATGTCTATGTAATAAATATTTGCTCCTTTCAAATTTCATATCAGAGTTTCGAGTCTTGTTTGTTTTTGTATGCACCTTATAATAGGATTAAGAGAGATGACGGTCTCTCTTCTCTCTTCCTTTTATTGTTAATAATATTCAGTGTATGCGTTGGCTGTTCTCAACTTCATTGTTGCTTTTGTCTGAGGCCTTAAGATGAGTTGTTGTTAATATTCAATGAATATTTTAGACTGCCATCTTTTCTATTGTTGTTCTTGTCTGAGATTTTGAGATGAGTTGTGGTTAATATTCAATGAATGTTTTGGACTATCCACATCGAATTTGTTTCCCTTACATTTTCACCATTTCAATCGGATATTTTTTTCTGAATTTTTAAAAATTTTCTCAATGATTTTTCCTCCTGAAGTCGAGAGACTAAACCAATTGAAATTTCACGGTAAAAATAGAAAATATCTCAAAAAAATCATTGAATGATAAGAACAACACATTTCTAAATCTGAGATAAAATAAATGTATAAAAAAATCGATGAAAACTTCCAATAGTATCTGCTGCTGAGTTTATTTTAAAGTTCTTTATTCAATTCTTGCAATGATGGCTTCCATGTTACTTTTTTGCGCATGCGTTATTGATATCAGTCTAAGATAATAAAAAACCTCTGAACGAAAGAGTTTAAGCATCTAATGATTTTTTTTCTTTTTCTTTCAGATCTAACAACTTAAGTCTTTGGCAATTTCAACCATGGGAAGATTAACGATCAAACAAGGTGTTAAAGTTTCAAGAGTGCAACTGGAAAAATTGTTCGTAAATTCAAACAAACTGGGTGAGTAGCAGATGTGAAAACACCATTGCGAGCTCGTTTACGCCGTTCAGCTGAAAACATGCCTCGGTGCACGAGAATGTGGCCGAAAATCCAGACCCCTCTATTCATCATCGCGTGCAGGAATTGAACCTCTCCACAACAACGTTACATCGTTTCCAATTGCACTCTCAGTTGGTCGTTTATGTTGACCAAAAAAAACGTAAAAATTGCGTGAAACGCATTTCTATTTGAACGTCCATTTTCGTAACAGGCTTCGATGACTTTAACACGTGGTTTGATTGTTAATCTCTCCATGGCTAAAATTGCTAAAGACTTAAGTTTTTAAATCGGAAAGAAAAAGAAAAAAAATCATTAGACGCTTAGATTTAATTCACATTTAAAATCGGTACAAGTTATTGGAACACCGTTTATTGGAGTATAATTTTTTGCCGATTTTCACCAACTACAACATCTATGTAAAACACATACAAAAATATATTATGTAATTACTTTACAATGAAACACTGTTTTAGAAGCATTTTACAGAATGTTTGTTATTACTCACAGTCTTTATTTATGTTTTCATTTTTCCTATTATGTGAGTGGCCGGCTTCCTAATTAATTTTCATTTATCAAATGTTCTAATCGATTTGTATTTATACAGATGCTCCATTATCGTTGATTTGTTCCGGAAGTTGAGCATTCTTATAAAATACTAATTACACACGTGTTTCATTCAATTTGTATGTTAAATATAATCCTTCAACGACTATGTGAAAACCCATACCAAAATATCTGGGGTAATTGCCTTACAACGAAATACTGTGTTGGTTCCAGTCGGCATAGGAATGTCTTCAAAAACTTTCCACCTCCTCAAATTTATAGACAAAACACAAAGATGCATGCTGGGATTTTTTCCTTGCCAATAAGGTAGGCCACTACTTAGTCTCATCTGACTTAGTTCCGTTCTTTCTTGAAGTCAGAATGCTGTGATCGCTTGTCTGTATCCATTCTTAGTTTGTGAATGTTTTTGCCTTATTAATGTTGCTTTGCCTTATATATTGTTTGCTCAATATTATTAATTTTTTTTGTTCTTTTCTTTCTCTTGTTATTGTTTATTGCAAACTTTGTCAATTTGTTGGGCATTTCTGCCAATGCCATCTAACCATGGCTAATTACTCTACACACTGTTTTAATTAGATTTTAGAAGCATTTTACAGAATATTTACTACTCAGTCTTTATTTATATTTTCATCTGTAAGTGGCCGGTTCCCTAATTAGTTTTCATTTATCAAATGTCCCAATCAATTATTATTTATACAAATGCACCACTACCGTTGATTTATTCCGGAAGTTGAGCATAGTATTTGTTATAAAGTATGATTCGGCATACTTCCTGCTCTTACTGTGAGAATGAACTGCTCCTACTTATAAATATGGCAAGTACCCACATTAGAGTAGGATTTGGAATTCGAACTTGACTCTTAGATTTATCATTCAGAGCCGTTATCGATTAAAGCAAATTGCACATCCCAAAGTGCATTACGAAGGCTTAAAGGTACAAATAACTTACCACAACTGTTCACTGTCAACCGTGGCTAATCATATCTCTAAATCTAAACTGTGATAAGTGTTGTGGATTCCGAGATGAAATCCGGTCTCAAATGAATGACAAACGCAGGAATGAAATATAGCAAATAAATGTATTGACGTAATAATACAATTGGTAATACGGTTAGTAGATCCAGAAATGCGGTTAGTAACAATAATAATATATATATACACTTGGGGAAATTCAGTATCGAAGTATGACTTCCTTCTGAGTCTAAGTGCTCGCAACTGCGACTCCTACAAAGTAGTTACCTCACACTCTCACTCTCTCATTGTCTCACTCCCGGGTATTCACCGGCAGCAGTACAAGTACACATTGGGCGAGTCCACTTGTATAAAAAAGGGTGGACCCCTTAACAATAAGTCCGTAAAACAAAAAAAAACTTTTTCATGTCTTTTACTCCTCCACAAGGATTTGCGTTTGCCTTTTTGGCATGTCTTTAAATTAACCAATGCAGATCCATCATTTACAAAGTTTGAATCCAACTTGTGAAACATTTTTCCTGCAAAGGTCAGAGTGTTTTTCAGTTCACGAGCCGCTTCTGAAATTCTCAAGTCTACATTTTCCACGCTCTTTTCAATTCCACTTTTTGCTCCAAGGGTCACAAAAGTCGACCCCACATACGTTTGGTCTAAGATTTATAATAGATGCATTAAAAGCATAACACATTTTATGAGGCTAACAATGAAAGCAAATATCGGACTGGAAAGTTCAAACTCACCTCACGGCTTTGATGACGGACGCCGTACAGCCGACCACAAAACAAAATCCAGAGAAAGCTCCGCAAATAAGCAAAAATATCATTCGGCTTTCCATTAGTAAAACTGAAACACAAAAAACAAGATTTAATTCTTTCTTTCTTTCTTTCTTTTCAAATGTAATTAATATATATATATATATATATATATATATATATATATATATATATAAAAAAAACAGACCACTTTAAGGTTCCATGTAATAAATTATTTCACCACAGCCCTTTTAAAGGGACTGCGGATCATCAGACTTTACTTCCAAACAAAAATGAAAAAAAATTTACACATTTTGACGGGCCGTATTAAACATATGTAAATTAACGAAGTAAGGAAGTGAGTGGGGAGAGAGGACATGAGTGAGTTAGCAGATATTGACACATTTAAATGGTTAACTTAACGGAAGTTATATATTGATATCGAAGGGGTAGAGAAGAAAAAACACATAGAGAGAAAAAGAGAGAAGGAAGTTATGAGAGAAGATGTCACTAATTTTCTTTGTAAAAAAAGGCTAGAAACAGACGCTGTTATTTGGCTTTACTTTGAAATTGTTATTTTGGGGGTTCATAAAGATTATAATGTATAAAAAAGCACTTTCAAATTTAAATTATTTGCTCTGGATTTACATTGAGCTCTCTGGATTTTATCCTTCTTAGGTTTACCCATACGGATTACCTAATTTTTCATAAACTATATATATATATATATATATATATATATATATATCTTACTTATTATAAAACGCAGATTGTGTGTGTGTGCGTGTGTGTCTGTACGCTTATATATTGAAATCGGATTTCCTACATTTTTCAACCGATTTCAACAAAACTTCACAGGACTGCGTAAAATTACCTCGCGGTGGTTCTGACAGCGCCAAAAATGGGAAAAACACAATTGTTTTTGGACAAAATCAATTTGAAAACACGATAAAACAAAATTCTGTCACCAGAATGAAAGGGGGGCAATTCATATCGAGTTATACTTATTATAAAACCCAGCTTGTTTGTTTGTGTGTGTGTGTGTGTGTGTGTGTGTGTTCGTTTATATGTGGGATCGGATTTCCTACATTTTTCAACCGATTTCAACAAAACTTCACTTTTTTTAAAAAGGTAGTGTTTCTTATTGTCTTGCACACTTTTTTTTTATTTTTTACATTCAGAATGCTTTAAAAATTCCATTTACAAGACAATTGTTTATAATAAAATTCTATTCAATCGGTAGACTCATAACGATTGAAAACAATGTTTTTGTTTGAGTTTGGGTTTGACCAGTTCGTAAAAAAAACAAAGAAACAAAACAAAAAACTAATTAAGACATGCATGTCCGTCAACCTTAAACAATGATCTTTGTCAATTTTATTTTTCAGTCTTTATGATGGTCGATACTTGATCTATCTCTTACTGTTACATCCCCGGGCAACGCCGAGCTCTACTGCTAGTATATATAAGTATAGGATTGGTATATACGGAATAAATTCCAATAACCAAAAATACTATTCTTAAAAGAGTGCTTAATACAGAGTAGAGCAAATATAATTTATTCGAAAATTACAACATAAATAAGTAAAAAAATCACTACAAAAATAGCCATTTTGTTTCAACAAATAAATAATTTGAATAATTTTACAGTAACCGATTTTCTACTCACATCAATTATTTGAAACTTTTGGATTATTAATACCTTATAATAACATACAAAATTTTAAACAATGATCTCAGTTGCTAAAGTTTAAAGATAAAATTCGGATATGTATATATATATATATAATTTCATCCTAAACAAGGCAATAAAGACCCTAGAACGCAAAGGGTTACTGACTATTAGAGAATATGAGAAAAACTGCTATCAGGAGGGAAGACAATAAAAGAACAATAATTAAGAATACAGAAGATAACGATTGAATAGAATTTATATTAATAATTTTATGTGTAATTTTATTTAATTTTATATTAAATATTTTATATTTTATATAAATATATTGAATATTTTATATTTAATTTCATATTTTTCATATTTCATTTATATTCTCATTTAATTTTATATTACATTTTAATTTTATTTAATTTTATATTTAATAACAGAACAAGAATTAAGAATTCAGAAGATAACGATTGCTATTGTATCTAAGTTTTTGAAGATCAAAGTTGATAAGAAAGCAAGAAGCCGAAAGAGAGTTCCACAAGCGTAAACTACGATAGAAGAAACTGTTAGCATAGAACTTACGGTTACAGCTAACCATTTCAACTGTAAAATAATGAGACCTTGCCGCCAATCTAGTATTGCACTTCATAAACTAGTTATCATGGCGGAAAATTCATCAGGATAATAAACATGAAATTATTTATAGAAAAGGCACAGAGAAGCTACGTTAGGACTGTGGAAAACGAACTGAAGTCGAGATGCCAAGTCAGGACCAATAACATTGTAAATTCTTCGTTGGATTTCATCAGGTATCTCTAAGTCTGGTCTGATGCTCCTTCTATGGCTTAGCCAGACTTAGCGGTAATATTCAATGAAAGGACAACATATATATATATATATATATATATATATATATATATATATATAT